ATATGAGCTTTATTTAAACTTTATTCTTATTTCATTACTCTTTCCCCTTTAGAGTTCTCAAAAAATGTCTTGGATAATAAGTTCTAAATTCTTATTGACATGTACTTCAGTCTTATGGGTCTTATGAATCTACTACCTCTCCTTTTTTAAAATCTAAGTTTTTAAATAGCACTTTGGTATCCTGAATCTTATTTTCCAAAGACTTGGTTTCTTTATCTAATAAATGAAGACAATAATATCTAATATGTTGGGTTGTTATAAGAAATATATTTAAAAATCCAAATCTTGAACACAAGGTTCGGCACAAAAGGAATCAATAATAGGCATTATTATGTAAATTTCACCCATATTAGGTCTGGGAGGAAGTTGATGATGCCGTTTCTCAACATTGCATTCTTTACCATTAGTAGCGTTCTATTATACATAGAAGCAACACTCAATAATTTGTTGAGTTAAGCATCCAGAGTAAGTTTTTATATTGTACCAGCACAATTGAGCAATAAATCCAAACAAACGTCTTTTTTCCAGAAATAAAAGAGGAAGTTCTTTTAGACTGCTAGTGAGACTTATTTCTACTAAAGTTTTCCTGTAAGTACACTAAAAATACTTAGGTATGCTGATTTTTCCTCTAGCCTTAGCATATTTGCCCTAACCAATCTTATTTGGAAAGAAGAAATGAATAATTTCATCTCTAGAAAATTAGTCAATAGTGGAGTATTCTTAGTTTTAATTTTCTTATAGCTTGAATGAAATATTGTTTCTGGGATATCTAGAATGAGATTCCAGGAAGACTGTATTTTCAAATAATAAATCTATTTGGAAGTATTAAAAAGTCCCTTTGCTAAATCAAGGAACATTTTTAATGAATTGGAGATATTCATTCCAGATGGTTTCAGTATAAAACACATTTCAATATCTGAAAATTACTGATAGCTAAAGTCTTTAAAAAACTGGGCTCAATTAAAAAAAAAAAGTTCCACCCAGAATACCCAAGTTCAAATTTCAAGGATATTATCTACTTCTTGTCAGATATGAAGGTATTGAATATCTGAAGTCTTGTCATGTGGTAGAAATTGAGACTCACTCTAGTAAATGCCACAGAAGGTAAGGAACACGCTTTCTGCAGTTGAAGGATTGAGATTTTAATTTAAGCTGTCACACTGTGTCACCCTCAAAGTTTAAGAAGTGGTCATTTGCTATGGAGGGAAACTTTGTATATAAGACACTTACTATGCATAGAATTCCCTTGAAGCACTTAGGGTCTATATTGGCATTTGAAGGGAGTGTTACTTGACTTCAAATGCCCTGGTAGAGATAGACAGAGAGAATAATTACTTTCTCTTGCTCATCAACATATCTCCACTGCCAAGGCATTCAGTCTTAGAAATTTTGCACAGAATTATTTCCCCTGACACTTATCACTTCTGTTTATAAATCCTTTGACTTACAACAATTTAGAGAATCTGCTTTATTTAATCAATCCAAAAAATGGGCAGAATACCTACATCAGCAATTCTCCAATGAAGACATGCAAATGTCCAATAGGCACAAGAAAAAAATGCTCAATATTGTTAATATCAGAGAAATGCAAATCAAAACTACAATGAGGTATCACCTCACACTAGTCAGAATGGCCATCTTTCAAAAGTCCACAAATGATAAATGCTGGAGGGGCTTTGGAGAAAAGGGAACCCTCCTATACCATGGGAGGGAATGCAGTTTGGTGCAGCCATTATGGAAAACAGCATGAAGATTCCTCAAAAGACTAAATATAGACTTACTATATGATCCAGCAACCCCATTCCTGGGTATATATCCAGAGGGAAACTTAATTTAAAAAGATACATGCACCCCAATGTTCATAGAAGCACTATTTACAATAGCCAAGAGAAGGAAACAACCTAAATGTCCATCAACAGATGACTGGATAAAAGAGTTGTAGTATATTTATACAATGGAATACTACTCAGCCATAAAAAATGATAAAATAATGACATCTGCAGCAACATGGATGGACCTGGAGAATGTCATACTAAGTGAAGTAAGCCAGAAAGAGAAAAAAAATACCATATGACATCATTTACATGTGGAATCTAAAAAAAGACTCAAATGAACTTATTTACAAAACAGAAGCAGATTCACAGGCATAGAAAACAAACTATGGTTTGACTCCTGCACAGCTGTTATCCTGCCCACTGGCTAAATCTTCAGTGCACATTTTGATAATTACCTTCTAGTCTTACATTTAAAAAAATAAAGTCACTGGAAACATTGATGACAAATATCTCAATTATCCACTCCACTGAAACGGTGAAAAGTGAGGATTTAAACTTAGATAAATACCATATGATAAATTCACAAATAAAAATTATATTTAAACAAATTTTAATGTAATAAAGAGAATCCTTACTGAATTTGCTTTCTGACCATTGAGCAGAGCTGATACACTCAACTGAAATGACTACCTGATGTTGGTGAAAAATGAACATCTAAGAAACACATCCCCAAAGAGTTATGTTGATTTAAAAAAAAAGGATTCTTGCCTTTCCTAGTAGTTCCTACATTATAAAAATGACATGACCAATGTAGCTTAGTTAATAGTTATCGTACCATTTCTTTCATGTTCTGCTTGTCCTTATCTCCTCGTCACTGCATGCGGGTATGTATTCTGTGCCATCCGCTTTGTTAGCATCTTAGATATGTCATCTCATTAAACATTTATATGAGCCTTATTACTAGCAGTGTTTTATAGGTAAGGAAACTAAGGCTCAGAGAGATGAGTAACTCATCCGGGGTCTTACATATTCAATAAAGCATCAATATGTGCAAGTCTATGTGACTAAATCCCAGACTCAAAACTGTCCATCTTGAAATGGCGATGAACCATATGCCTTAGAGTTGAATTTTTTAAATGGCATGGACTTCACATGGAAGTTTATTCCAGTTAACAGTGATCTTTATCCAAGTACAGATATAACACTGGAATGAATTATCAAAGGATTGCTATCCACACAGTAAATCAAGGAGAGAGTCATTTGTTTCGGATGACTTAGACAGCCATTATTCTCAAATGGTAGGTAGAACTAAATACTTTCTCAAGTCACTGTGCCACCAGACACACATCAGGTTCTTATTTTAGGATCATAGAATTGAAAGTGGTAACTGGCAACACGTAAGTGAAAAGGGCTAAGTTCAAACCTGAGCTCTGCCCTTCATTTGCAACAGTTTATCTTCTGTAGGCTTCACTTTCCTCATCCGTAGAAAAAAGATAATTTCTTATATCATAAGTGGATGTGAGTGAGGGTTAAATGGGATCAGGCAGGGGAAGCATCCAGGGGAGAAACTGGCATCTAGGCAGAGAATTACATCCTGAGTTGCATCCTGATATTGATCAGTGTGCTGGCTTCTTCCCCTTAGTACTCATGCAAGATACATAGCGTTTTCTTTCTTAAATCTACCATGATGTATTGCTCCAAGGTGTAAAACCCTTAGGGAAAGCAAAAAAAGTGGTATTTCAAAATCACGTTGCCAGTGTAGGTATTGGGTAATGAATATTTTGGCAACTCAAATGCATTATAATTTTCTGCTTTTACCAAAACTGAAGGAGGATTTATCAGATCAATAGCTCATTAAAACTACTTTCTTTTGTTCATCCTGTGATTTTTGGCAAATAATTCAGAAGGAGTTCAAAGAATTTAGTGTCTGGAATAACAGAATTTCTTCTAGCCCATCTATTTATGTATTTCATATGTATACAGCATGTCATAACCCTTATATTAATAAAATTTAAAAATAGGAAAAAACTGATATATAAATCTTTTGCTAATGTAAGTCTCAATTCTAACATTAAGTAATATTTAGTGGCAGGTTCATGAATGCTAAGGAAAAAATGTCATCCATCTTATAAAAAATTAACATTTCCAATAAATTATTATTTTGATATGTGTAATAATTATATTTCATAACTTATGATATATTTATGATATTCTGATAAATTTAATACTAAAATATTTATGAGAATAACTCAATTCAGGATAAGTTTTACTCATAGGAAAAATACACATATACAATCTGCGTTTTTGTTGATGTTTTAAAGACATACAACAGATTAAAAATAAAAATATATGACATTAAGACAAAATTTTGTGAAGAAAGTAGAATGGAAATACAAATTCAAGAGGAACTTGGAACACTGTTAATTTTACCAGTATTAATAAAAATTTGTACCTGTTGTTTTTAAATGCCTCAGTGCTGTATATCAAATCACTACAGTTTTTATATTTCACAGGTTACATTTAAATGAATGATGTTACAGTTTATTTTAAAACGTAAATACAATACAACAGAAATTACACCCTTTGTAACTATTCAAACTTACAGTTAAACATTTTAGAGAATAACATAAAAATATATAAAGGTGTGCATGTGTGTGTGGTGTGTGCATATGTGTGTATAATTCTTAGCGGGTATATGTGAGCAAGGGATTAAAAACAAATGAGATAGTGCTAGGTCGGTGCAGTATGTTGGTTTTAAGTAGTTAACTAATTCTGAGGCAATCTGAAAGAGTAAAGATTCACGAGCCAATAGGGGAAGGACCACGAGGGTAGAAACTGAATCCACCTTACTTGCTGCTCTACCCCTTGACCAATGCCTAGCACAGAGTAGGTACTCAATAAATATGTGTTGAATGAATGAATAACTTACAGTAGATTCCATTTAATCCACACTGTTTTAGCTTGAGTCAACAGACATAGTTCTTCGATGTCATTCTCTGCTGACTTTCTTTTTCCAAAGAAGTTAAAACTGTAGCTAATCTTCAAACCACAATGAGGCTTACTTTTTCAGTTCTTCCGTTGCAAGGCCTCCAGATTAATGTTTTTAAGTGTATGCGATAATAGTAACAGACAAGTCTTTGCAATAATAACTTTTAGATTAATTCATTATGAACTTTTCTTTCTCATAGTAATAATCTTGCTAATTTAAACTCACACAAATAAAACTCTATTTCCCCTTGATTGTTTTCCCAATTTATCTTAATTAGCACCTAAAGCTTCCATGTGATAGCAACTATATGCATATTATGCAACTAATTAGAAATATCTTTATTCTCGCAACTGTAAGAGAGTTACTTCCCTAAATTTAAACAAATAAAGGTCGTAAAATCTGGCTAAATGAAGTTCACTTTACATTCGTAAGAGATTTTTTTTTTTAATCTACAGAGTTTAAAGTCTACATGATACTCAGATCGTTTATTAAAAGCACCAAGAGAAAGGAAGGCTATGATCTGAGTTGCAGTCCTAGTGGGAAAACGTAAAGTCAGTTTCCAGGCACTTATACTTGCCAGGACATAGCATCTCAAAAAAACCATTTCATTTCATTTCTTTAAATGTAAGAACACTTGCCTGACAACACCATAAAAAGGAAATTCTGTATTATATCTAAGATTTTCTGTTAAACTGCCATTTTAACAATTTGACTCATTTTCTTTCTGATTGAATGATGATTTGTAAGGTAAAATCTGGTACTCAATTTGACTCCATTCAACTTGATCAATTATCGAGTTTTGGACGTGAGGCCTAGTGTAAGGGTCAAATGCACAGAGTCATAAATGCTACCCTCAAGGGAGAAGGCTTGCCGTCCCACTCGCACACTCAGTTGTCTCAGTCTCACCATGCTTTTAAAGACCTGGTTGCAGTGTCATCATTTTTATGGAGATTTGTTTCTGACCCGTCCACATGCCCACAGCTTCCAGAGGTTAAGTGCCACACCTCATGCCACCAGAGCAAGACAGGGCTCATTTTATTTATTTATGTATCCCCAGAGTCTGGCAAATTGTAAGGACCTAATAAACATCCTTTAAATTATTTAATCTTAGTAATGATTACGGGAGTGGATAAAATAATAGGTGAATGTTCAGAGTATAAACTAAGGCAGCTCCCTAAGACAATTAAGATAATTAAAGCTGTAACTCATGTTAACAGGGGAGCTCTGTGGACCTGAGTCAATCCCCAGCCCACCAGTTCTTAGATCTTGCTCCACGAAAACCAACGCACACTTGGGACAATGGTTTTAATAAACAAAGCCTTCTGACATAAAGTAAATTCAAATCCTAATCTTAATCAAATCCTAATCACACTAAGAATAGCAACAGGGTGTTCTCCTGTTTTATAGAATGCTTTAATTCAGCAGTTTTCAAAGAATGGCGATGAACACCTAGGGGGTCCTGAATACACTCTCAGAGAATCCACAATATCAAAATTATTTTCATATTATTACTAAGACATCGTGTTTTTCCACCATATGGACACTTGCACTGATGGTGCAAAGGAGGTGGTTGGTAAAACTGCTGGTGCATTAACTTGAAACAAGACAATAGTATCAAATCAGAAAAGTCTGTTTTTTCACCACCACATGCTTATAACAAAAATTAAAAAGAAAATTCCAGTTTCACTCATATCAACCCTTGTCTTCAATACACATCTTTTAAATATTCTGTATGATGAAGTGGCAGGTACTCATAAAGCACTTCTGCTCATACCAAAGTAGGATAGTTATCTCTAGGCACAGCACTTGTGAGACTGAATTGTGAGATAAACTAGCCACGTTTTCATGGAAGTGCTAGTTTATTTGAAAGAATGACTGACATACAAGGGATGGTTATACAGACTTGGATATTTAGGTGATATTTTCCCCCCAATTTAATGAAGTGATTCTATCATTTCAAAGAAAATTAATGATCATATTTTATGCCAATAATAAAACTTAATATTAACAGCAAAAATAATTATGGAAAACTTTTGTCCACTACTATGAACCTAACAATTGCTCAATACTTAAGGACTATTCTAATGAGATCAATGGTGATATTAATGAATGTGGTATTTGAGAGTATCTAACAAAATGTGTCAACATTTGGAAAATCTTCACAGCTCCATGAACATATATTTCCCAAATGACCAATGGATAGAGTTACAAAAGCATACATGAGTAAAGATTCATTCAAGTTACAAAACTGGCCAATGGGTTTAATGGCAAAGAGCATGAAATTTTCATCGCTGTGCCCATCAGATGCTATTATAATTAACCTTTTAGAAGCTAGCATTGTATGTTTTTACTATAGAATCAATGAGGAATATCCACAATTACTTGAAAAGACTGTTAAAATACTCCTCTCTTTTCCATTTATGTAACAGCATAATGCTAGAATTTCTTCAAATATTTAGATCAAAACAACTTATTGGAAAGACTGACTGCTGAAGCAGCTATGAGAATTGAGATGTCTTCTATTAAGCCAGACATTTAAAAGATTTGTATATATTTTTTTTAAAAAAAACCCCAAAACCCCATTCTTTTTAATAATTATTTTTATTTTGGAAAACAAAATTATTTTTTAAAAAATTGTTACTGATTTAATATATAACTGTTATATTATTGTTCTAGAATAAATGTGTAAATATTTAAACACATTTCTCAGTGTTAATTTTTAATATGATGAATGTCAATAAATATAAAAGCTCCTTGGGGGCTTGTTATTTTTTGGTAATGTAAAGAAGTGTGGAGATCGAAAAATGTGAAAACTGCTTTCTTAATTTATCTTACTTTATTTCAGTCTCACAACAACCCAGTGAGGTATGTTTTTAGGAAATAAAGACTTATGGAGTTTAAGTGAAACGGTGATAATCACAGAGCCAGAAAATAAGGAAGCCAGAAATTCAACCTAGATTTGCGTCCAGAAATCTTTCCACAATATCTCATTATCTCACTTCCAGATTTACAGAGTTAATAAAAATCATTTGCCTTTGCTGTGGATTCATAATAAATAATACAAGGGGAAAAGAAAGATAGTTTTTGCCTTATCTCTTTAAAAAATCTATGGCTAATGATAGTAAGTTCTACTATTTAGCTGTACTAATCAAGACAGAGTAATGTTGGTGGAGGGCTAGACACATAGATCAATGACAGAAAACTCAGAAATACAGCCACACAAATATGCCCAACAAATTTTTCACAAAAATGCAAAAGCAATTCCACGCAGGAAGGATGGCCTTTCTGACAAATGATGCTGGAGTAAGCAGACATCCATAGGCATAAAAATGGACCTCAAGCTGAACCTCATGCCTCATATGGAAACTCATTCAAGTAGATAACAGGCTGACATGTGAAACACGAAACTATAAAATCTTTAGTGAAAAAAACCCAAAAATATAGGAGAAAGAATCTCCAGTGTCTCGGGCTAAGCAAAGAATTCTTAGACTTGATACCAAAAGCATGATCCATAAAATGAAACTTGATAGATGAGACTTCATCAAAATGAGAAGCTTTTGTTTTGTGAAAGAAATGACGAAGCCTCTACAGACTGAGAGAAAGTTTTTGCAAATCATACTTGACAAAGGACTAGAATCTACAAATACACAAAGAACTTTCAAAATTGAACAGCAAATAATAACAACGATGATGCAATTAGAAAACGGGCAAAGGATATGGACAGATGTTTCACTGAACAGCATATGCAGATGAAAAGGTGTTCAGTACCATGAGTTAACAGGGAGATGCAAGTCCAAACCACAGTAAGTTATCCCTGCACAACCATCCGGATGTCCAAAAGAAAAAATGGCACCACCAATTATTCACACACTGCTAGTGAGAATTGAAAACTATAGTTTTGCTAGATATTATCATTGGTAGAAACTGTGAAAAGGATATAGGAGTTCTGTTTGTATTGTTTTTTACAACTGCTTGTGAATTTACATTTATCACAAAATAAAGTTTAATTTAAAAAAATCTGTGGGGAAGTAATACTTTTCAAAAGTATGGTAAGATCTTTAAAAAACAAGAAAATACTAAGAAACGGTTAAACACTGGAGGTATCAACACTAATAAACCCTACTAAATACACCATAATATTCTGAATTGGATCCTCAAGTAGAAGAAAGGGCATTTGTGGGGGAAAAAAAAAACTGTTGATATCCAAATAAAACTGTCATTCAGTTAATGATATCAAGCCAAAATTAATTTCTTACTTTTGACAAACACCGGGAGAAAGTAAAACGTTAACATTAGGGGAGCCTGGGTGAAGGGTATGTGGGAACCATCTACTCTATCTGTGCATGTGTTCAGCAAATGTATAATTATTCCCCCAAAAGAGTTTAACCAAAATCTATAGTTAAGAATTGTCCCCTGCCTATTGTTTCTAGTCAAATGCTAAGCATTTAATCTGGGCATACAAGGTATTCTGTGATTTAGCTGCCGTCTCTCCTCCAAACTCATCTCCAGCTGTTGGTTTGCTGCCCTTGAACCTTTATCAGCACAGAATGCCTTGCAGCTCTTCCAGTGTATTTCGCTGAGTCAACACTTTTATTCCTTTATACAGACTAGTCACTCTGCCCAGAGTGACCTTCTGTTCTTCCTGTTCTTTCCAATTGATAAAACCTAGTTATCTTTTAAACACCCAGCTCAGACGAAATAGTTCTCATAAAACGTCCTTGGCCATCGTCACAGCCATGTTGATGACTCTTCAGCTTCTTTACACTGCAATAGAAGCAACATGAAACTCTTACATGACTCATGACTTGTTACCACGGTTTCCAGGAAACTGATGAAGCAGGAAAGAAGCGCAGGGAGGGAGGCACAGGCTCTGGATTACTATACACCTGGATTTGATGTTCTCCAGCACACACATGTTTTAACTCTGTAACCTAAGGTACGACACTTAACTCTGAGCCTCAATTTCTTCTTCTAACAGGAAAAAGGACTACTGTTCTTACTTTACAGATTTGCTGTGAAATTAAGTGAGAGTAAACATGTAAAGCACCTGGTAAGATGCCTGACACAAAACCTCAATCATATTATTACTAATTTGTATTATTACTTTTAAACTATTGTGATTATCATTTGATATATTTTATAATGTCTTTGTATTGCTATAAAAATAATTTTGACTTTGTATGTCCTCTGAAAGGGTCTTCAGGATCCCCCAGGGGGTCCATGGCCCCATTATGTAAAATAGGAAATTATATAAAACAGGAAAACACTCTGCTGGCATTCTC